AATATTTCTTTTCATATCTTAAATCTGAAAATCAAATACATGGTTGCTCAAAATATATAGTTACAGGTTATTTTTGTAGATGTTTTATATTCGAATTTGGTTCAAATGACGATTGTAGTTATTTTGTTGTAATTTAAAAATATTATTCGTGAACCGTGGTTTTAATATTATTACACAACACACTTTCGATAATTAGGAATATTTWAAATTAATTAATTTATCTTTGTGGTAAATGATATTATATTTTTTTAATGTGGAAGTWTTCTTATCCAACCAAACATGCTCGGAAAATTAAGATTCTAAAGAATATGAAATATTTGCTATATTAATTTCTTTTGAGTTATTTATAGAGATTTGAAGTTTAATTGAATTCAAATTTAACACATCCGTTACGCTGACTTTCTTAACACCTAATTAGTAGAGCGTTACCTATAAATATACCTATCCTCTTTTTTTAAATGTTTACATGTTTTTTTAAATTTATCATTGACTATTTAAAACAAATGATTTTTATTTATTTTATGATTACATTAAAATACATAAGCAATCATTTTTTAAATAATATTCCTACGTAAATATTCCTTTTTCTTGATGTTTTTTGTTAGTTTTTCAAATTATTATCAAGAAAAGTACTGAGAAATGTGATTTGTCYTTCTTTTACCAGACGAAACTAGATTAACTAGAAACCAACMTTTAATGTTGAAGAATGAAACATTTTYAAAACTCTAAAAAGTGATATAGTTTATTTTAGAGAAAACACATACTTGCCCTATAGTAGAACCAATGSATTCACCTCATATAGTTCTGAACCTAAATCTTTATATTTATATTACTATAATAAATTTAACATTGTATCACTTGAACACATTCTCTAGGTAATTGTTCTTGTCAGCAAGGATATTGGGGCAAATATTGTGAAGATCCATGTCCATCTGGTTATTATGGCCATAAATGCCAAAATATATGTAAATGTCAAACTGGTGCAAAATGTGATCCAGTAAATGGTATTATATGATATACTTATGTATATTATTGTTAAATAATTATTTTTTTAGGCAAAAATCTCAAAATATGTTTGATTAAATTAATTGAATGATATTATAGGTGCTTGTAAGTGTTTATCAGGATACGCAGGAACTAATTGTGAATTACAATGTCCCCCAGGATTTTATGGTTATAAATGCCAAAATGAATGCAAATATCAAAATGGTACAAAATGCGATATAGTTAACGGTACAATGTTTTATAATTTTGTATTTGAAAAATTTTGTTCAAGCTAATCCTAACTGATTAATATAGCAAATTTTTTATGCTAATATTTTTCAGGTGATTGTAYTTGTCTACCAGGATATGAAGAACACGATGCTAAATTAAAAGAATGTGATTGTCAAAAGGGTACATTATGCAATTCAGTAAATGGTATGAATAATTTGAATAATRCATACCCAAAATTATTAAGATTATTAACTAGAGACATTTATGGAATGTAGTACAATATTAAATATTTGAAAGTTTCTAATTTTGTAATTTGTAATTTTTAAATTATGAATATTTAACTACTATACAACTATATTAGTAAATATTGGCATATTATTTCCATCTAAATGTATATTAGTTATTATATATTAAACGTTTCGTGTTATTTTTTAATGATAGTATTTAGGAAATAGATATTACTTAGATATTATTTTCTAGAAACTTGCTTTTGCCAACCAGGACAAACAAAAAATAATTGCGAATTTACTTGTCCCTCGGGCTATTATGGAAAAACTTGTCAGTATCCATGTAAATGTCAAAATGGCGCAAAATGTGACGCGGTGAACGGTACAATTAATCATTAAAAATATTTAAAAATAAAAAATAAAAAATGAATAAAAATAAATACTACTAATCTACTATAGGTAATATAATTAAGTTATTTTCTAGGCAATTGTTATTGTACTCCAGGATTTACTGGAGAAGATTGCTCTTTAACTTGTCCGTCGGGATTCTATGGTTATCAATGTCAATACGAATGTAAATGTCAAAATGGTGCCATATGTGATCCAGTTATCGGTACGGTGTATTATTATATCAAATTTTGAATCAATGTTATGATCAACGTAAAATTTTAAATTATTTTTATTGAGTAGGACTATAATTATCATTAAAATTGTCATTTATAAATGTAAACATAGCAACAACTTACGCGTACCTAGATAAATTTCAAACACAATTAATATTAAATCAAATGTTTTCGGTGGTTTGATACGTCATAATATWAGTCACATGTATATGACGTATTATTATTTATTTATTTGTTTAAAGGATCTTGTATATGTCCATCGGGTCTATCGGGAAAGAATTGTCTTATTTTGAATAAGTCCAGGATCGACGGAAAAAATAATATGACGGTGTGTGATTGTAATTGGCACAAGTTTGACTACTGCGAACCATTAACCAGCATATGCAAATGCAAACAACCTGTTGACGGTTGTAATGATATATTATGCAATAATCTAATACGTATTATAGTTTGTATTTCCAAGGTGTGACAAATTTGATACTGTGGTGTTTGGCCACATGGAGTATAGTGAATAAAACTGGTGAAGCTACCTACTTTTATAWTAATACATATAGGTACTCTAGGTAAATATTATTCCTGTGTGACGAAATGAAATCCAAGTATAGATTCGATTGATTTCGGAGCGAAATAATTTTTTTTTTATTTTATCATTATTATGATACAGAAAAAAAAACATTCACATTTTTTTTGTTGTACATTAATAAATTATAATGCAGGAACTGAATGGATACAGTTTTATCTTACACAACTTACTAAATAAGGGATAAGAATATAAATATCATGAAAAGGATAACGTATTAAATGGTTGGGATGGTGATAATAGATACCTTTTGGAATATAAATTAAAATAATATACAATCATTAAAATTAATCATAATAGTGTAGATGTGTTTTATTTTTTTGATAATAATATCGTTATGTTTTTTACAAAATAGGTGCTTGTGTTTGTGAACCTGGTTTGACCGGAAAAGATTGTGAGAAAGTTTGTCCACCTGGCACGTACGGTGTAAATTGCAACTCAACTTGTAGATGTCAAAACGAATCAAAATGTCGGATGGCCGATGGAATTTGCTTGTGTGAGCCCGGATTTTCCGGACCTACGTGCTCAGAAGGTGAGCTAAACATTATTATAATTCAATCATTTGAACTAAGAGCTATATCTACAGACGGGTTTTTAATTGAATATAATATCACTATATTAGGTATCTTCTTATAGTGTACTTGTGGACTTGTGGGATTCGATATAGTAAGGTGATATCATAACATTACGACTATTATTATTAATACGCTATCTAGACAAAAAAAAAGTTGCAACTTAGAGTGTTTTGTTTAGTTTAAGACCAATAGATAGCGTACTCTATAAAATAAAACGAAAATATTTTAATCCAAATTGTAACTAT